CCGTCCCCTGTTCATTATGCTGACAAACCAATGTTTGCACTTTGATCTCAACTACGGAAGGAAGAGAAATCCGGGGGGCAGAAACCTGTGAGGACATGGCACAAGCACCAGCACTGGTGCATTTGGCCACCTTCATACATTTTTTACAATGCTCACGGGCTGCTTTTATAATTGGAAACATAATTTAAAAGTCATATTTATAAAAAGCATCCTTTCAAAGTATGAATGCAACCATGAAAAAATTATGTGTACCATTATATTAAAAAAAAAACCACTGAAGGATATATAAGATGAGTTTTTCATGTTTATTTCTGGGAAGAGGGGCTAGGGGGCTTTCCCCCCCCCACCCCCGTTTATTTCTTCTACTTCATTTTCCAGATTTCATGCAATAAACCTGAATTGCTTTTCTTTAGGTCCGTTTCATTACATTTTTTCCACACAAGAAAATATAAAGCTTGTGTTAGTGTAATAATAGACCGCAGTTTTTGGAGACCCAAGTATGGGTCTGAGTCCCGGCTCCGCTACTTCCCAGCCGTGACCTTGAGAAGGACGCTCTGAGCCTGACAACAATGCCCGAGGGAGGAAGACCTCGACCTTCCTCGTGGTCTCAGACCTGACGGAGCTCAGCTGACCAGAGTGGACCGCTGACGGATTTGCCCCAGGCCAGCAGCTGGCATTTTTATAGTTTAACTCAGCACAGAAATTATGTGCCCAGCCCTGGCACCAACCACAACCCCCTTCTCCCTTATTTGGAACCTTAATCTTGTAAAGAAATCTATGCGCTCACTAGCTAGGTGGCTAGACTTAGGGGCGGACGTGGATTCACACGGAAAAGGCCTGGAAGGCCGGTCTGTCTCGCTGCACGTGTGCAGCCATGCTGTGGGAGGGTGGCTCTCCTGGTGCCGTGGGTAAGAAGACACAACACGTGAAGCCCACTGGCGTCCCACAGAAACACTGGCTACTTGGTGACGTTGCAGGGATGATAACATCACGTGGGGAGTTTTCAGGAGGGTCTCCCGTGACGACACACATCCCAGCACCTCTAGGTGAAGCCAGAGGGTCGGATAGGAGGTGGCTGCCTGGGTCTGGGGCTTTGGGAGGAAGTGGGAAGTGAGTCTCATGGGTACGGAGCTTCTTTTGGGGGGTGATGAAAATGTTCTAACATTGATGTGGTGCTGGATGTGCAACCCCGTGAATGTACCCCACACCGCTGACTTGTACACTTTAAACAGGTCACTTCTTACGGTATGTGAATTCTATCCCAATAAAGCTGCTTATTTTCAGTACTACCACCTTGTCTTCTACCAAAAGTTCTTGCCCCAACCAACTAA